TAGCCAAAATTTTATATTGTTTTTAAGGTTTTTATTATTCTAAAGCTTTATCCTTATTGAACGTGGAATATTGTATCCACTAAATACAAAAAATGCATTGGGTACTGTTCAAGATCATAAGACTTCTGTATGAAATTATAACATTACGTCATTAAGGAAAACTCATACTATTTTAATCCAAAATATTATATTTCACGATGCTCCAAACCTAACATGTGATCAGAATGCAGGGAAGATTATATTCTAAACGTCTATCTTTTTAAGTAATTCCTCGTGTTTATATGCTGCCATGCTATTAAAATGATCATCATATCAGTATCAGAGAGGAGCCCGCCCGGGACACTGTCCGTGCTTTGTTTTCTATTAACTGCACACGCTATTAATTTTGGCTTCCTGTAACTTATAATTGCAACTGCTTTATACAGGAGTTGGGTGCTATAAAACCTAGGCATTCACGTCTTCTCAGGAGTGCTATACAGCGTGGAACTGTAAGAGATTGAGCAGTATATGCAATTTCAAATTATTTACTCATTTCTACTTATCAATATCTGTTTATTTTTTACATTTTTATTTAATTTCCTTGTCTAGTCAGCGTCACAACTTTCTAATCTGTGGAGTCCTCTAGAAAATCGAGGATGGAAAACTTGCGTTAAACCTAGCAATGTTCCATGTGAGTGAGGTTAATACCTTTCACTTTAGGTTAAGTTCTTTCTTTGATTGTTTTGGTACTTAAAATGGTTCCTTATCTTTCCGTGGAGCAGCATTACCAGAGAGGTCTGAGGGATTTATCCAGGTGTTTCTTGATGGAGGGTTGAACCAGCAGCGGATGGGGGTAGGTATTAAAAGCCCAAAATCTTATATATCATTATTCCAAAAGATGTGTGATTTATGCTGTGTTTGTTTTTGGGTTTAGATATGTGATGCGGTTGCTGTTGCAAAGATACTGAATGCAACTCTTGTAATCCCATACCTTGAAGTAAATCCTGTTTGGCGGGATTCAAGGTACCTGCTGGGGCCATCGTTCCATTTTTTTTTTATTAAATATATATCATGGATTGTTAATGATTTTATATGCTGAGGTCGAATATATTTCTCTGCAGCTCCTTCATGGATATATTTGACGTCGATCACTTCATTGATGTATTGAAGGATGACATTTCTATAGTTAAAGAGCTGCCTGAAGAATTTTCCTGGAGTGTAAGGGAGTATTATGCTGCTGCTATCCGAGAAACGAGAATCAAGGCTGCTCCTGTTCATGCAACAGCCCAATGGTATCTGGACAATGTTTTGCCTGTCCTACAAAGGTTGGTGGTTACCTGAACCTATTAGGGCGTTGCTCGATATTTGGATATGAATGAAATTTTCAGGATTATTATTATTATTATTTTTAACGTTAAAGCTGAATGTTTTGTGCATGATTATCATAATCGAGCATTTGTCTGCTCTGTCAGTTGTTTCTAAGTTGTTCTTTATAAGCACATGGCAGACCGAACCCTGCATTGTAAAGTAACTATAACCACTTTTCATGGTGTTTCAAATTAATATCTGAAAGCAGTATGAGATTCCAAATTAAAAAATGTGTATTTTTAAGAGGTTTGCATGCATTTTGAAGGCATTTGTTGATATAATAAAGCTCTTTTATGAATCATTGCTTAAATTAATGGCCTAAGACCTTTAGCATTTCCCCCACTGGCACTGATTTTTCTTCTGTGTAAAGGAAGCTGCATACTACCTTTATTATGGCTTGTAAAATTTAGAGATTGGGCGAAGCAACAAATATTGAAAATTATTCAGTTTTGACTTCTGAAGCTCTTTCCTTGCTGACGACCCAAGCAATCATCAAAATATTTCTGACATATTGAGTCCAAGCATAATCCAATGCAACCTTCCTCTGTAATCGAAGTTGGTTGCATAGTGTGAAAGTTTATAATGATATGACTGAATTTAATGTACATGCACAGTGAGATTATGCATCACTTTGTCATCTCTTAGAACCATGGACCCTGATTTCTTGTTTCATTGCAGTTATGGCATTGCTGCAATTTCTCCATTCTCACATCGTCTTACATATGACAACCTGCCAATGGATATTCAGCGGCTACGCTGCAAAGTCAACTTTCAAGCATTAGTTTTTGTTCCTCACATCAGAACACTTGGAGATGCACTCATAAGCCGGCTTCGCTACCCTCAAGATTCTGCTGAAGAAATGGGTACCAACTACCTTCAAGAGAGCACTGAAGCCAGTAACAGTAGAAGAGCAAGGAAGTTTGTTGTTTTACACCTTCGCTTTGATAAGGTATTGCTCTAATCCATCTATTGACGAGTTTGTAATGCTTCTTTTGGTTCTTTTATTTTGATGCTGCAAATTTTGGCAAATTTTCTGCCTGGTTAGGTTGCATTCACCCGGTAACTTTAAATTCAATAATTAGTTAGTTAGTTAGTCGGTAAAATGGAAAATTTTACAGGAAATAAAGGGATTTTCTAAGCAAAGAGATAGTTTACTTTCTTGATAAAAGCAGCAGCATCAGCAACGATCAAGATGAGGGCAAATTACCTTTTGCTCTTTTGAGAAATGCACAAGTTACCTAACCTTCCCTCTAATAATAAAATATAAAATCTCTTCCCCTAAAGTTAAATGATGCAATACGGTGACCTCTTATGCAACAGAAAGACAAGCTATAAACACATCTATTCTGACCAAAATATCTTTATATTCATTAAATGTACAAGATAGCGAGTATTAAATATTTATTTTACCAATATAAAATAGCTGTGTTTTTCCAATTTAGAATAACTTAAGTTGATGTTTTCCAATACAATAATTAAGAGGGAAATATAACTTATGGTCCTTCTAACTTTTTTTCAATTATTCTGGTAAAAAATAACTTGTCATCAATTATCAGTTCGATCCCTAAATTTTGACTACGAAAGTATAATCCATTCACTCAATAATTAGCATCATATGGATCTTCTGCCATTGAATATGTTACTCTCTGCACCGTTACATGTTTTAGTTGTAAATTTGGAGTCTAGGTTTGTAAATCTCTGTGTCACAGGATATGGCAGCCCATTCAGCCTGTGATTTTGGTGGGGGAAAACTTGAAAAATTGGCTCTTGCGAAGTATCGACAGCGGATCTGGCAAGGAAGGGTTCTTAATTCTCAATTCACTGATGAGGAGTTGAGGAGCCGGGGCCGGTGCCCAATGACTCCAGAAGAGATTGGTTTGCTGCTAGCAGCTTTGGGATTTGACAACAGCACCCGTTTGTATCTTGCCTCTCACAAGGTCTGTAATGTTGCTTTTGTTTTATGCCGTCAAGATTCATGCATTTGAATCAAGGGACCAATCTCGAATTAGTTTTAACATTTTTTACAAATTAAAACAAACCAATTTCAAAAGAATCTTTGTAACATGGGGAGGAGCGCAGCCACTGCCCCCCTTAAATCCGTCCCTGATTTGAATTACTCCGTGCCCCTTGCTAAAATAAGAAGGTGGAACGTTCATGTTTACCAAGTTTTAAGGCACAGCTTTTGTCTAATCCCAGGTATATGGGGGAGAAGCACGGATTTCAGCCTTGAGAGAATTATTTCCTCTGATGGAAAGCAAAAAGAGCCTTGCTTCAGCAGAAGAGCGTTCCCTGATAAAAGGAAAAGCTTCTCTGTTAGCTGCTGTTGATTACTATGTTGGCATGCATAGCGACATCTTCATCTCTGCTTCCCCTGGAAATATGCATAATGCAATGGTGAGTAGTGCCAGATCCTTTCTACGTGAGATGACTTTTCTTCAATGCATTTTCTACCTAAGAACTCGAATTATAGCTCTGCAATATTACTTCACAGGACTAGCCTAGTGTAGTGACTCGTTACCCACAAGTTGATGTTGGATCCGATCGATTCTGAAGGTTCATGTTCATATTTAATTCTCTCTGTCCCCGTGCAAAACTTAAAAGAGTCACTGGAAACAAGTGACAGTTAAGAACCCATCACATTAATGCACTTAACTGTCTTTTTAGCACTTCCTTTTACGCAAACAAAATTTCATGTTACAAGGTTTGTTTCTTTCATGAGAAATCATATTTTAACCCTTCTCCGCATGGGCGCCCTTGATGCATTAAAATGTAACAAAATACCCCACTAATGAGGACGTAAAATCTCCTAAAATTAGCTGCATGACTGCATGCCGAGGGCTTTATGTCAGTACTTTTGTCCTATCACTGATACACTGCAGTTAAGTAATTGCTTTTGGTCTTATGTATCAGTTTTTCATCAATTATAGCTTGGTTGTTCCAAGACACAGGGCACTAACATCCTTGAAACTGCCATTAATTATTACTATTACTAGATGTGGGTCCAACGGATATGAAGTTTGAAATTAGCTCACTGTTCATAGTTTATGAATAGTTAACATTCCAATAGATTTTATGAGTTGATGTTGATGTGTTGCTTGTGGAATCCAAGCTGATATTAATATTAATGCTGCAACGTTTGATAGGTTGGACACCGAACTTACTTGAACTTGAAGACTATAAGGCCAAACATGGCATTAATGGGCCAACTCTTCCTGAATAAGAGCATTGAATGGTCAGAGTTCCAGCAAGCGGTAGTTGAAGGACACCACAATAGGCAAGGTGAACTCAGGCTGAGAAGGCCAAAACAGTCCATATATACATATCCTGCACCTGATTGCATGTGCCGAGCATAGTATATTTAATTGTCCACGTATGTAGTCTCTGTATTTTATATTTATAGTCGAGTGTCCTGATTATTTGACAGTTGTGGCTGATGAATAAATGCATTTCCGCGCTCATTATCATATATGGTTTTCTACATGTTGATAAAAGTGCTTGTAGTTTGTATTTTGTATGTTGGATCTCATTCATGTTGAACCAGCACCATTCTTACCAGGAATAGTATTGATCGATATATAGTGGTTTATGAGGAGCAAGATCCATTCAAAGCACTGGATGTGAAGATAAACTCATTGTTGAACTAGGTAGTTTGAACAAATAAAATCTATTCAATTTAAAAACAGCAAGAACATACAAATCATATAATTACAGCCCTTTGTGTGTCGTATTAACAGGAAATCAATAACCAATCAGATTACCCCGGGTCGATCTCTTTGTAAATACGTACGCAGGAAATTAATCCGCGCTCGCGCTTTCTGGGGCTCTATGTCCAAGTTGAAATGAACAGGACTAGGAACTAAGCCTAGAACTTAGCCTGTTTCGTCAGATTGCCAGATATTTCACCTGAAGCAAATGAAATTTTACTTATCTTCCCCGTTCTCAGCTGTCAAGGATCTATTTCTCCCCTGGGCAGCCATTTCTCTTGCCTCTCGAGCAGTAGATGAATCGATCCCCTCCTCGATGGGAAGAGTTCTTTTTGATCCCTCCAATGCTACGCCAAGTACTATATTCTCTTCAAGGACAGGCCTAGGCATTTGAGGCTGTGCCGCCGGTTTCCTTTCATCTCTCTGTTTTGTTGGCGTATTCTTAGGACGTCCACCTCCTTTGACAGCATTCTTAGATTGTATGACATCAGAATTCTTCTCGGTCATGTTATTTACAGCAGCTTCACTAACTTTGGAGTTAGAAACAGACACGTGCTGAGCCTCCAGGTTTTCCTTTGACTCCGATTTCATTGGCTCATGTTCACCCACTTCAGGGTTGGGTTTGGATGAAACGGCGACCTTCAAGTTTCCATTCGCATCAGAGTTAGTCATCACAGCTTCAACATCTGCCTTCGACTCAGAATGAGTTTCTCTGACCTTATGATCTGGCCCCGCTGGCCCAACCTTGGTTTGCGTGGCTGATCGACTCTTTGTCGTATCATCTGCTTTGATCTTGTACGGTGGTTCTATTATTATTGTACTGTTTGATACTGTTCCAGTACCACTAAATACAGAATCCACATATGGTATATTCTCCAAGTCAGCATCACTGTAAATTTTCTGCAGTGTTCGAACTGGGGTTGCAAGTCGGGCTCGATGATGGCCAACAACCCTAAGAAGATCCAGTAGCAAAGCTTCCTAATGTTTCAGGGGTAAATAAATTGAAAATCAGCCGAGATTTGAATAATAAAGAAGATGATATGCTCCAGACCCAGGATCACTTCAATAAAATATCCATCACCACTTGGGGAAAAAAATTACGTCTTATTTGGTTCTTTGATCTCCCAAAAAAAAAAACAAAGAGAGAGAGAGAGAGAGAGAGAGAATTTTCCCATCTATTTGGTTCTACTATACTGCCTAGCAGTAACTTCTTAAGGGACCAAATAGGTAAACTAATCTATTTACAGATTGAAACTGAAGGTCATGGTATCGTAAGCTTATAATGACCGCAAAGTAAAAAAGAAACAAGTCATCGCAAGTTACTTCGTAATTAGCACTGAATTTAAGATGACAGCATAACATGCTATATATACGATTGCCGCATGATTGACAGTTTTTAATATACATAAGGACTTAGTCTTACCTTAACGCACAAAAATTCTTCGTGATGCGAGGTCTTGACAAAACAGGACACCATTATCTGTGCAAGACATGGGAAAAGATCAGAGATGAAATGATGTACAGATATGCTTCGCTAGACATGAATACAAATATGATCCAAATTGTATTACAGTGATGAGCATATGAGCACTGAAGAAGGGCCCATCTATTGATATTGAGTAACAATTAGATAAAGTGAAGGACAACGCAAAACTTTCAGTTATGCATAACCTGAGACAGCCGCATGTAATTGAACCATTCGAGCTTTTACATACTGAACAGCATAAACTATTTCAGCTTAATTTTTCAAATATTCATTGATGTTTTACTGGTTCATGAGGAATAACAGACAAAATTTTATTTATTCAAGATTTTTGTCAACCAAGGCACAGAATTTACATGTAAGATATTTTAAGCACTTAGTTCATACTGACCAAAAGAGCCTGATTTTCATGATCTATATTGTCCAGAAACACTCTCCTGTGCAGCTTCTGCTGCTCGACTTGAGGGTTTTTGGCCAAGACTTTTCTCATGTCAGCAACAATGTTCTGCATAAGTACTTTACCACGTCACTGAAGGATAGTCATAAAGAACTTGATGGTAACAAAAGCTAAGTGATGAAAGTGCCTCTCACATTTATCTTATTAACATCCATATGGTTAATAGCCAGGTGGGTCTTGAAACGCCAATGTGTTTTCTGACTGAGGTTTCGCACGACGCTCATTGTGAACTTGTGGTTTGGAATATAAACAGCTTCACGATTTTCACCACGTATAATTGTGGGTGACCACCAGCCAACATGCTGCATAAAAGAACAAGCATCAGTGAAGAAATGCATCAAAATAAGGGGCCTCGGAAGCGCCAAAAATATGCATTTGCAATTTTGGTCCCTGTTTGTTTATTGCATAAAATTATACAGAATATAAGAAGCATAAAATTCCCATGCTCAAACTTTTGCAAGTTGAACACCAAACATATACCTCCACAGTACCAGAGACTTCATAGCCTTCAACCTTTGTTTGAATCCATTCATTCACCACGAAAGGCCGAGTTGTATGAATTATCACGCTTGAAAGGAAGTTTGTAAATATCTAAACAGACGAAACTTATTGTGAGACTTTGCTTCATCATAACATCACAAATATGAACTGGGCTGGACAGAGGCAACAATAAATCCCACACCTCACGACCAGCAAGAGTCAACAAAACAGTCCCGAGACCTCCTGCGGTAACCCACCTCTGAGTAGAAAAGCCCACCAACTCCATGAACAAAGAGAAGGCAGCAATCCATACTGCAGAATAAACAGCTTTGCCTGCAAACTGGAATCCCATCTGAAAAGGCAGACAAATATAAATCATTCTATCTTTGAAATTGAATCATGACAAGTTATGCTTCCACAAGATATATTCCCCAAATTCTAGATTTTCTCATACATTATCCACAGTAGATTGCAGTTTGCAGATTAGTGAATAGTAAGCATGAATTACAGCGAGCTCTCATGAACTCAACTAATTCTGTTGTTTTATTTATGATAGATCAAATACATTAAATAGAGAAACTTCGGTCCAGAGATATCATATCTCACCCAAGAATCTAGAGATGCATTATTAAAAACATAATCTCAAGGAATCAAAACTGATAAATATTAAATCCTATTAGCTAAGACAGTGTATGACACATGGTTCTTATGAGCACCACAGCTACCAAGTCATTAGTTTTCCATATATGGTACATCATCTACAAAACACGCAGCCTTACTAAATTATTTGTATCCCTGAAGAGAGCAAGGCTACCCTAATGGATTCAAGTGCTCCAAGCTGTATGTTTTTTGTTGTAGAAATAGATCTAGTGAATTGCCGACTATGATCTATGACTAAAATAAAGGTTAATGGTCGATCTAAAAGTTGAATAACAAAATTCAACCATAATGCGATACTCAATGATTGGGAAATCATGTTTTAATGAACAATATCATTGATCATTGCATCCTAGACAGACTGTGAAATGGAATTGATAATATACAGATTCAAGTTTCTGGATCATAAAGCCAGTTTCTTTTCCATAAAGCATAGATACATACATTCCTTGTCTCACAGGCATCAGCAGCACCCTCCGTGAAGAATTTCTGTGCTTGTTGAATCATACTGCATAAGATTATTATATAATAAGTTCCGTGTTTTGGTAAACTATTAAATGAAGTACACATATTGGAAACAGAGATCAGATTGAATAACAAAAAAGCATAGTTGTAAACAAGCAAGGCATTGCAATTTGTAATACCATAGAAAGCAAGACAATATCTCTCCAAGAAGGGGAAAAAAGGCTGGAAGAGCTTCAGTGCAAATTATTTCAACCAGAAATTGCTAGGTGTAACATTAATACGAATTACCAAACCATTCAACAGTTTCAATAGATCATGCTGAAGACCAGAAAATAGGCATACCGTGATATACAATAGGCAAAGGCAAGTACAGTTGACAATGATCGTGCAAAAGCCAAAAGCCGTTCCTTGACAGCTTGAGCTGCTTCTGAAGGTAAATTTAATGGGTCAAAGGCTCTGCAATTGACGTGACAATTGAGTGAGTGGAAACTAGGCACATTGGAAAAATATATATATAATTATGCCATGACGGTTATACCTGCAAATAAGCATAACTCCAGTCCATAACAGTAATGGCTGGATGTAAGAAGTTACTGCATAATGTGTGCTACTTTTCTTCCAACTATTGTCGCTCCTCTGCAAGAAAAAGAGTCCAACATTATATTTAGGTAATAGATAATGTGTGTGGAAAACCATGTTATCCCATCATCATGGACGCGGTATACAGAGATGAAAGCACTATTTACTACAACATACCTGGAGAAGCAGTTTTCTTATATGATACATTAATGGGCCAACACCCCATACTGCAAAAGTGATGATGCCAATGGCTGGAATCAACTTTACTGTGACAGGACTACATTGTAATAGATTATAAGACCTGCATAGAATTAAATATGAAATTTTTTACCGCAAACACAACAGTAAAAATAAAATATGTAGCCCTGAAAAAGTGAAAAAGACTTTTCTTAACAAACCATCTTCTGAAACCTTTTAAGAACAAAGATGCCATAGCTTCAGAATACGCTTGTTATAAGGGCAGAGAGTAAACAGTGCATGCCAACATATAAAATGCTTAAAACCCCGCACTTGGTAACTGTTAGATGATAAAATTTACCTTGCCGGTGCTGTGGCCGCCACCGTAGAAATAGGTAGCTCACTTTGCGGGCCTTGTCTAAGAAAAGAATGGCACTTAAAAGCATGTGACTTGCAAAATAAGGTATGTATTGGCCTATTTATATTGCAAAAGAGTTGAGTTCTCCGCCAATCCTGCTTCAGGAACTGCGATAAAAAATTTTATTGAAGTCCTTTGTAATATATTAAAAACATGAATGAGAAGGATACAAAAGGGGAAGTTTGTGGGGCTTATTTCACTGATATATAAAGATTCAAGCATCACTGGAGTCCAGGGCCCCAGGCACGCAGCAATTTACAATATTGCGGAAGCAGGACAGATGCAAATAAATAATTTATTTATAAATAGAAAACATAATACTTCATGCAACGCACAAACTTCTTGGCTGTTGAATGCTGCAATAGATTTAAATTATCGTAGAAAAGATTTATTGTGACTAATGATAGAAAGACAACAAATCATGAAAAAGTACGATACTGATTAGAAGCCCCATATTCGAAGGGATCGATCGGGTGGAGCAGCACATGTCGTTCACATTCGACAACAGTAATCCACAAGGCGAGTAATAACACTAGAAACATGAGCATACCGAAACATGATATAACGGAGCTGCACTTGATAAATCTAACTTGGTTCTGTACAGTAGCCCCTGCAAATTATGTAACATTAAAGTAAGCACTGAGAGCAAACGTAATAAACCATGAACAAAATTTAAAACGAAAAAAAAAAGGATATAATATTTAGTACTAGTACCATATATTGGTTATAGCAGCCCGGGTTCCTGCAATGTCCGAAATCATGGGACAGCTGCAGAGAACCGGGAAGAGCCATCCCTAAATCAAAATGACTATCCAACAAGGTTTCGCTGACCGCTAAAGAAGACAAAAGAAAATCAGAAGCACAGTAGATTTCACTCCAATTCAACACAGCTGAAGCAGTGCAGATTAAACTTGTCAATCTGTCAGAGTAGAAACCTGAAATGAAACAAACTTCGTGTGAGGACTAGAATGGTTGTCTTTGGAGCAGGGGAAGACAATTTAACCTTAATTCCTCATAAAAGAAAAAACTTCACTTAACCGACTCTCACGGATGACAAAAAATGGCTTCTGAAAGAAACCGATTTCCTCAAAACCACGTTGAAAAGTAGTTTTCTAACTAAAATTACACTCAACAGCTAAACAAAAAACCATCGTGTTATCACTCACGATTCAAGATATTCAACGCTGGAATTTTCTTGTCATTGTTTTAGCTCCAATTTTGCTTATCAACACTCATCGCACCAGCAAGTTTCAATTTTGTCAGGAATTTATTCGCAATGAAAGAGAGTCTAACTCATCGAGCTCATATTCACGAAAAGTAGGCACTCGCTGGGATTATATAAAACTTTCAACGTCGCTGAAAATTGTCATGAATGTGATAAAATGAGTTATAACTAGTCTTGCATAAATTTCAGAACTTGAAATTTGTGGCGCATTGGTTACCTGACAAAGACGAAGAAGCTGGCTCGGAAGAACTTCATAGCAATCACGAATATAATCCAAAGTGACAGGAATTTTTGGCGCATGAAATTATTATGGGGCTAATTGCGTCGTGGCCTAGACACGCGCGCAAGAAATTCCATGCTTTCACTTTCAGACACGGTTTTGTTCTCCACGTGTACCGTTAGTCTTCACCACGCAGCCATCGAAGATCAAAATAAATCTTCCCATCAGTTGTATGGTTCTGGTCATTTTCTTCTTTTTAATTTTTGGCCATAAATGGTAGTTTGGAGTCATCTCTAAAAATTCCAAAACGTAAACGTTTTCAAATCGAATGCATATGTGATGGTCCAATGTGTATTCTACATGAAGATGAATGCTAAGTATTACTTCTTTAGAAGCCTCCACAAGTCACGTTGATCTCATCTTCAATTATTAAGTTGCACAGATTGTAGCCCTCAAAATGATAAATATTGCAATGGATGATTTTTCTGCAATTTTTCATTTTCTTAATCACTTGTCACAGATATATTTGTATTAATTTTAAAGTACCTGTTTAATATTCTTATAACAACGTTGCAAAAATATCGAGTTTGTTTATTACAGTGAGGTCAACATCCATGACTCGATTTTGTTACAAATCTGGATCGCCTTCTTTCAGGATAGCAACCCACAGAACAGAGATGAAAATGTTTCAAATGAACTGAATAATAATGTCAATGGTCAAGAGTCGTACAATAAAAGAAACGACAGCTTGATCGCCTATGTGTAAGTGTCGTTTACAATTGAAATATCATACAATCTAAAAAAATTTATTGATCATGCTTCAAAATCATCTTTTTTTCCTCATAGCAACTAATTGTTAATCCCTTAAGTCGAAATGGCTTCGAGGTTCTTAACCCCAGTAGCAGGATGCTCAATCATTTTCTTACTTGCATGGGACTCGTTATCATCATCATCATCATCACCGTCCTTGTTCTCAAAAGACTCCGCCATCTTTCCCACCATATCCATTAGCTCGGAATCTACAGTCGAGAATTCACAGATCTTATCTCCCAACCCCAGAAAATAATCCAGCAGATGCTCCCTTTCTGATGACAACCTGTGAGCTTTCTCCATCAATCTGTTGTTCTCGTTCTTCAGTTTCTGAAGAATGGCCTCTGCTTCACTATGAGGAACTTCGTCATCTTCATGCAATGAAGAAAAAGTGGTCAGTGAATTACAGAAATGCTCTTCAAGTGATGTCATTTGCTGCATAATTTCATCCATTCTCATCTTTCGCTCATTCATTAGCTGTAAGAACTTGTCTTTCACATGCTCGTTTGTTTTCTCTGTAAGGCTTTTTACCACCACTGCACTTTCAAATTCTCTTCTAAATGCTTCTTGTTCTAGCCATTCTATCTCCTTTTGGAGCACCTTTAGGATCTTGTCCTTCTCTTCTATGATCTCCAGAAATTTCACTCTCTCATTCTCTGCTTCCTTTACTTGTTTCTCATCCACTCTTCTCTCTTGCTCGAGGCTTTCTCCAAAAATTACCTGTGAAAGAAGTGAAGCTTCAAGTTCTTTACGTTTTGCATGGCTTTCCTCCAAATCATTCTTTAATCGTTCACAAGCTGACTTCCATGTCCCCACTTCACATTCCAATTCGCTCCCTTCATAAATCAGCTCGTCCAATTCAATGATTGCTTGGTCCAAAGCATCATAAGCTTCCTCAAGTTTTTCCTTGTAAATTTCAAGCTCGCTTTCTTCATTATTGTGATCACCCTTATTATCCATGGCTTGAGCCTCAGAAATCGCCTGCTGCAACACTAGAAGCATCACTGACAACTCCTCATTCTCCAACTTCAACTCATCAATTATTGAAGATTCAAGAAGACTTCCCTTGCTTGCCTCTAACTCTTGATTTTCTTGCTCTTTCGATGTGTCTCTCGAATTATTAAATTGAACCTTACATTCTGAAAGTTGAGTTTCTAGTTGCTTTCTGGTGCTTTCTTCACGAGCAAGGGCTAGTTTAGACATATGCAACTCACGTTCCAATTGCTCTAGAGTTTTGGTCTGAGAATGCAATTTTATTTGCAGGGAAGAGATATCATCAAGCAATGCGTATGTTTCCAACTCTGGATCTTCATTTGCATTATTAATCTTCTCCTCTTGTTTCTCCTTATCCACCTGTGCTTCTTCCAGATTCTCAAGTTGTTCTTTCTTCCATGTAACTTGTTCTTCCTTCATTCTGTTCTCCTCCTCTATCAACTTGTGAAACTTCTCATCTTCATTCGCTGCTTTTAAACTTTTCTCGGATTCCAAGCATTTCTTTATGGGAATTGATAAACAAGCTTTCTCCTTTGCCTCTTCTAACTCCAAAATCAACGCCCTTTTTTCATCTTCCAATATTTTCAACCTCTCCTCATAAGTCTCTCGTAGTTTATCATTTGCAGAACTGATATGCTTGATTATAGACTCCTTGTTCTCCAGATCGTTCCTAAGATCTTCACACAAAAGCTTTGCCTCGTTAATCTCATCCGCCTGAGCATCATGGGATTTCTTAAGATTCTCAAAAGATTCTGTCTTCTCTTTCAATTCTGCTTTAAGTTTGTCCACCTCGGAAACATAGACCTTGGTGGTGGCCATCATGATAGACCTTCCAAATGATCTTCGAAACGAAACCCTGAGATACATGTAACATACAAAAAAAAATGAAAATATTGTTAGGAGGCCACCCGAGCTCTCTCAAGCTAACTCAGGTGGTCGCCTGAGAAGGTGAGAATTTAGAGAACCTATTACAGGTTACATAGTAGAAAACGAAACTAAATAATCAACATTCAGGGTTGTCTACCAACAAGAACATGATTTGTCGTTATTGCAAAACCAGATAACAAGTTTTCAATAACATGGTTAAATCAGGTTATTGAACACAATGCATGTGTTGTTATCTTCAGAAAAACTTGCCCGTATTATAGGGGATGTTGGTAACATAACACACGTTTTGCTTCATTTGATTCAGGAAAAATGGAAAAAGCCAACGGCTTAGGGCTACAAGTAGTTGACCAACTTCTATAAGCAAAATTAACGGTTTTACAGTAGTGGAAATTCCTAATTAAAGACAAGGAATGTCAATGATTCTTTTATAATTAGTAAAAAGGAAAATATATTTGCCCGTCCTTATAGTTTGAGTAGATTTTGAATTGAGCCCCTATAATTTTATTTCTTTTTAATGGATCCTTATAGTTAATTTTGTTAAATTCATCCGTCCTTCTGTTAGTAAAAGTTGCAATTGCTGTTAATGTAAAGTGACAGAGGGTGATGTGCCACTCTCTCACCCAAGCATGTGGCTCCTTCTATCATCTGTCTCTCTCATCTCTCCAAGCTAACCACGTCGAGTTCCATGGCGCCCAGATTTTCCCAACTCACAAGCTAAACTGAATCTCATATTCCCCCAACTCAGAAGTTGTGTTCTTCATGAGCCCAACCATGGCATGCTTTGAAGCTTTATAAGCATGAGGACCCACTCCTCCCAAGACTCCCGTGATGCTCGACGTTGATATGATGTGCCCAGATCGCCTGCGTATCATCACTCTACCGCATGCTTGATTCCGAGAGCTACACCCTTCATGTTCACTCGCACGACTCTGTCAAACTCGTCGACGTCGAAGTTGACAATCTTTGGTTCTTTGATTGATTCCCTAAGACTTTGACATTGCTGAAGATGATATCGAGTTGGTCGTAACGAGAGATTGTGGAGAGTTTTAGTTCATTCTCTTGGTTCTGTTTCACGATGCTTGAAACAAAAAAAAACAGAGCACGTATGAACAGAGAGAAGAAATGAAAGGAATACTTTCTAACTGAAGAGAAAGTGTCGTCGTTTGCCATGAGAGAGACACCTTGAAGATTTGGCTCAGGCACTACTTCGGCAACAATTATGGTTGACCTCTTAAAATGGAGCTTCTTGCAATTGTGACCTCATAGACGTAGAGAGAGAGAGAGAGAGAGAGACGAGAGAAGATGGTAAGTGCTTGGAAGTTTTGGTTCCATTAAAGAGTGCTAGATTTGATCTGATGACTTGATGGGAGGCACTATATTGCTTCACCGTTAACATAGGCAAAATTTTAAACTGCGCAAGTGCTTGGAAGTTGGCATAACAAGCGAGGTATAGGGAGCGTTAATGAGGGACTTTGTCTTTCTTTATTTAAAAGTTTTTTAGTATTCTCAAACTTCTAAACCTATAAATTTTAAACAAATAACCAGCAACTTGAGGGAGTCCTTCTTCACTCCCCCTGGGAGTTGTTAGCTTGGAGAGATGAGAAAGACAGATGGTAGAGAGAGTAGCAAACTTGTGTTTGAGAGAGTGTCAGATCACAGCCCATCCCTTTACATTAACAGTGTTTGTAACCTTTGGTAACAAAAAGACTGATCAATTTAACAAAATTAACTATAAGGATTCAATAAAAAAAAAAAATTATAGGGATATAGTTCAAAATCTACTCAAACTATAAGGACTGGCAAATATATTTTTCCTTAGTAAAATATTATAATGATATTCGTTCGTTTTACTATATTGTTAAAAAACGAAAAAAAAAAAGGTATATGAGCTTTCATATTCATTTTTAACTTACTAATTATTTTGCATGGGTTACCATTTTTTTTTTGGGAATACAAAAGGCAAGTCAGAACAACTTTTGAGGGTTAACATTTTATTACCTTGTATTAAACCGTACTATCCAATCGACAAAAACTGAGAAGAAAAGCGGAAATAAAGAAAAATCCTGGAACAACGGGGGAACTTCTCGTATTCAAATAGTCTAACTTTATTTACAAATCATTAATTCTTTTTAAATCTCCAATTAAAAGGGTTTCATTGCTCTGTAGCTTTTTTTCCCAATATACATTAGTATATAATAAAATAAAATATGAATATATTGCTTATATCAAAGGATTTTTTTTTTTTTGAAAGGATCATTAAAAAGAATTCAAGTAGAGAGAGAGACGGTGAGGGAGGAAAGCATCACCCATGACAGGTTAATATCAATTAAATGATTTTTAGTGAATATGCTGAATAGAAAAAATTATTGTGAGAGAACTCGACTTGAATTTTTGAATTTGTTTGTCGTATCGAACATCAAATGATTTTACAAATATATATATTGTGATCAACTTATTCTCTTGAATTTCATGTATTGACGAAGGGAAAATAATTAATATAAAAATTAGAACCTCTTCGCGCTGGAGATTACTTGTGGCCTTGTGCATCAAGGATCAAGCACAATGATCTTTCAGGCGAAAAAAAAAAAGAAAGAAAGTACAATGATGTGCTATCTCCAGCTATTTTTTCTTCACAGAAAGAAAAGCCAGTTAATACGAATCATACAAGACTCGTGACTCATGACTTCTAATACAAGATTTTTTTTCTAAAATATTTAAGAGTTATTTTCAAAATTACTCTTTCTTTATTTCCATTGCCTATCTCATCTCAACTTGATCAAGGATGATTTTAAAAATTATAATTGAATTTAACTAATTCATGTAAATTATTTAACCAATCTTTCTTATAGGAAATGGAAAGAGTTATATTTCCGCAGCATAGAAACCAGTTATTATTAGGCTTAGGTGTAACTTCCCTCCTAAACAATTTCCACCAATCATCATTTACAAATCAAGCCAAAACCCCCTCACAGCATCTAGCTTTAAACTCTCCTCTTTATATAAAGAGAAATAGATACTTCCACTATTATAAACTATCTGAAGTCTTAAATATAATATTACCTCCGGTCTTTAATATAAAATCCTGTTTGACTTTTATTTTGATTCTAAATATAAGATCCTAATTCACTTTGTCTCTCATATTTATACCTTTTTTTTTTCAAAGTAGTCATTCTAACAATGATAGTTCTAATTAATACACTTGATTAGCAAGGATATTTTAATAAATATAACATTTATTTGGGACAAATAACTAACTCAACTTACTTTTTTAGTCTCCTCAAATTAGTCAACTGACTCTTATAATTAGAACCGGATATAATAGCTAAATAAAAGGTTTGTTTTAACTTCTCAAATCTTAATTTATTTTGTCTTTCAAATTTATAATTTTTTTAAAAGTATTCTTATTAATTGCATATGGTGAGGGAGTTTTCATTTTAAAAAAATCACAGTACATATGATTTAAAAAGATATTTAAAAAAACCCAGTATACATTTATTACTAATAACTAACTTAACTATTTTTATTAATGTTTATAAATTAATTATCTAACTTTTATACTAAGTATCTAAAGGTACAGTATCCTCGCTTGCCTCGCTAGGTTCCATAAACAAGGGCCATGTAACAATAACGTGAATGGACGGAAATATATAAATTAGTTTGGTAGTGATAAAGAAGCAATCAATTTGATGATCGAAGCATCGTTTTGGATTAAAAGAACTATTTTTTCAAAAAAAAAAAAAAAGGGTTTAGTGATTTATCAATTTTTGTAGGTATTACATATGGACTATGAATCACTTCCACTCGTCTTTTTTTTTTTTTTTAACTAAACATGACGCCATTCTCCAAACTAATCAAATTGTTTCGCCTCTGTCAGCTACGAGACAAACGAAATTATTGGTCACCTAAGGGCTAGTTTTGAAGAAAATATATATATGTAGTTTAATATTATTCTTTTGGCTCTGAGATATGGTTTAACCCATTAACCTTAATTAATTTTTAAAGTTATAGATGAAATTGTATTTTAATCCACTAAAGAACAATCACATACGGCAAAAGAATTAAGCTATCAGTGTACATGGAAAGTTTTCCATGGGCCGCGCAAAGCTAAAAGTTAACTTCGGAGCAATCATGAGTTAGGTTTCGTATTGAGAATATAAATTATAGAATGATAATATATATAATACTCTTTGTGTCTTAAATATAAGACCTATTTTAATATAAGTTATTCTACAAAATAAATTTTATATTTAAAATCAGAAGAGTATTAAATACGATTTCTAAACATGTTTGGAGTTCAAATTATGTATGCTAGAACAAAATGTTGGGATTAATATTTGAAATCAACAACGTTTAATTGGACTTGTGTTATGTCATGTAGTTATATTAAAAAACACATGACAATGATAAATAAATATTCCTCCGATTCTTAATATAAGACCTTTTAAACTAATTTGATTATATTAAAAAAATTAAATAAGTTAGTTAATTATAAAAAATATGATATGTTTTTTTTCTAAAACACCATAATCATCTTTCTTAATATTATCTCTCCCTCTTCTACTTGATTATGGTTGAGGGAGTATCCATAGAAATAATTTGAAAAAAATTAATAAATATAAGAAATAGGTCTTATATTTAAGATCAAAATTAACTCAATAATTATATCTTATATTAAAGATCAAAGGAGTACTTAAATAGTATTTCCTCTTATCTTTACATAAGAATTAGTTGGGGTTCAATTTGGTTATTAATATAAAATGTCAATCATCTTTAACTATCTCTCATATTTATTATTTTTACCTCAAAATTAATTTACACAACTTATAAATTAATATACGATCTAATGTTATATAGAAATATTTTTAAAAATCATATCAGTTTTATTATAATTTATTTATTTATTTGACTTTTTAATATACACAGATAATTAAATAACTTTTACAAACTATTTCATTTTTTCCCCCTTGGGGCAGTGACTAGTGACAAAGGAAGAGACCACTAATGCAAGTGGGAGGACATGTCCCACAAACATATAATTTGGAGCCAATTTGACTGAACGCGTTATGAGAGGCGCCGGTGTCGTGGTCCTACACATACAACAGAACGGAAATAAAGTACTCCTCCGGTCCTTAATATAGGACCCAATTCTCAAGTTGGTTTTGGTCCTAAATATAAGACTCTTTTATTATATTTATCAATTTTTTCTAAATTACCCCTATGAATATTCCCTTAACCATAATCAAGTAAAAGAGGAAGAGGGGTATTAAGAAAGATGATTATAGTGTTTTAGGAAAAATGTGTCACTTTTCTTATAATTAACTAACTTATCTAACTTCCTTAATTTAATCAAATTAGTTAAATAGGCCTTATATTAAGGATCGAAGGAGTAATATATATAATTTTACTAGCAAAAAATTATTTTCATAAATTAAAAACTAGTACTACTACTTGTTATGCTTTTGAATAAAATTAAGTAGTAGGCATTAATTTATTATTTTTAGAAGTCGACAGTAAGATAATGGATATTTATATATTCCCGGGCCGTAATGACAAAGCTCTTCTCTACGAAAATAACCGATCAAAGTGACCAGTGTTGGGGAATGCATCACCAAAGTTGGAATTAATATATGTACTTTTGTTTTCCAGCTAATTAAGTAATTGTCCTATGTAAATAAGAAAAGTGGCAAAGATAATGAAGTGGATTACACACTCCCATAAAAGAACGGCGCTTATTTTATTTATTTTTTAATCTTTAACTCTGGTCCTGTTCAATATAATTAGGTGATAAAGTAAGAGCTGACAATTACATTTAAATAACTTTACCTGACTCTTATCATCTTTTATGTCTAGAACTACTTTTTGGGTATGTCGTATCTGTTTAATGATACTACTTCCGGTCTTAATTACAAGAGTTAGTTGATTAATTTGGAAAAATTAAAAAAAAATTAAGTTAGTTATTTATAATAAATATGTGTGTTGTCTTTCCTAAAATATCTTTATTAATCAAGTATATTGATTAAAACTATAATTATTAGAAAGATTTTCTTAGAAAAAATTGAGTAAATATGAGAAATAAAATGGATTGGACTCTTATATTTAGAATTAATATAAAAGTTAAATGAGGTCTTATATTAAGAACCGGAGGTAGTCGTATTTTTCTTTAATGACAAGAAACAACTTTTTTTTTCAACTCACCTACTCTACGAATACGTTGTACCGTGCGCCATGCGATTTGTTTTTCTTTTTATTTGTTTTCCCAATTTAGTGACGATTATGTTTATCTTATTTGTCAAGGTAAAAGCTACTTTACATACAAGAGCAATAAATACATCAAAATCAACGCATAGGATCCTATACAAATTGAAAAGTAACCCAAAAAAAAAAATAATGAAACGAACAACATTACTAGATTTTTTTAGGATTTATTTGGCTCAATGAGAGGAATACGAGATATGAGGGGAGAGATTTTAATAGAAGGAAAAAAAAAAAAAAGAGGGGAGGAGTTTTAATATTACCTTGTTTGATTCATGAGAGGAGGGGAGGAAAAATATTTTTACACGGACAATTTTGTCCTTATTTAACTTAAGATTATTTTTTCAAATTTTATAAAATGTTTAATAAAATAGAATTGCAAATAACATTTAATATATAGAGCAATACTTATACCAAAATTCTAATACACTGTAGAACATGAAGTATTATTAGAAAAAAGGTTGAAATAATGTTTAGCCACAACTTGTACTGTATCCCATCTTTGAATGAAATATTTGGTCATACAAAAAAGAGAGGAGTGTGTGGAGACAAAAAGAAAAGAATTGAGGGTAGTATAAGGATATTAAAAATAAATATGGATATAGTGATCATAACATGATAAAATATTGTTATTTCTCTCCAAATCCTTCTAATTTTAGAGGGAAGGTTGAGGAGGAAAGGGCAGGAAAAATTTTTTCCTTTTTTTCTAAAATTTAGGTGTTACTAAAAAAAGAAATAATTAAAATTCTTCCCTCTTCGCCATTTCCTTTTAAATCTCTCATATTAAACGTACCCCTAAAAAAACAGTGACACTGTCATTTCAAAATAAAATTAGAAATGATTGAACTTGTAATAACAGGCTTATCCAGCACCAAGCAAGAATATTTTAATGAAAAATATCCCTAATCAGACCTGGCAATATTTGAATACGATGGGGTAGATTTGCAGAGAGAGAGAGAGAGAGAGAGAGAGAGTGTGTGTGTGTGTCTGAGCGTGAGGTTCAATTGATTAGCTAGGAGACAGAGAAAGTTAACGTACGTAAGTGGTGATAGTAACGTCACCGTGGTGTTTAATTACGGAGGTAATAAAGGAATAATCAATGTCTTTTCAAACACTTCCGTTTTTTAATATAAAATCTTATTTAATTTTTATTTTAATTTTAAATATAAGATTCTAATTTACTTTATTTTTCATATTTATTCATTTTTTAAAAATAATTTTTCTAATAATGATAGTTTTAGACAATAAACTTAATTAATAAGTATATTTTAGAAAAAATAACACTTATTTATTATAAATAACTAACTTAACTTATTTTTTAATTTACTCAGATTAGTCAACTATCTCTTATATTTAGGACAGGAACTAGTATATTTTAATTTACTTAAAGCTCTCAGGGTGCCAACATATCAGTGTGATTTTACTTTCCGTCATTAGGCAAATTAAAGCTGGATTAACAACAAGAGTTGGTCCAGTTGGTAGAGAGTCGGCTCATAACCCACAAGGTCGTGAGTTCGAATCCCGCTGCCGATGTGAGGACCATGTTAGTGGGCGATCTGTAAGTACTTCTATAAGCACTCTTTGAGTTTAGAGATATACCCTGACCCTGATGAGTTTTCAGGACCTGACTTGCCTAAACTTTTTGTAACCAGAAAACAAAGCTGGATTTACGTCACAGCTTTAATAATTACAGATGTGATTCATCGTCTATTACGTGCCATGCTGATAACCCCATAATCCTCACGGTGGGTCCTACTCTGGCCTTAGTCGCTTGGGGAGTTCAAAATAAGTGGTCCCGCTAACATCCTAAACAATAGGACCAGATATCAGGAAACTTAATTAGAGCCTTAACATTAATCACAATAAATAGCTCAAATTCTTAATATTTTCTCAGACAGTCAGACGGGGGAAAAGGTAATAATCTGAAAAACATGCCAACTGCTGTGTTAAATTAATGTGTACTTTGTCCCTAAATATAAATACTGTAATTTGCTATGTTAATGAATTTTATACTTGTGACATTATAGAAGCTCTTGTTTGAAAAACACTATGCACAAGCCAACGATATATATAACACGTGAATGCAATCATGGATCAAAATCGTAGTTTGTTTATATATATATATATATATATATATATATATCTCTGTGTTTGCATGGCATGCTGGTTTGAGGATAAATTATGGCGAGGATCATGGAATAATTTTTAAATTCTAAATCTATAAAAAAATTTCTCTTTCAATATTTATTTATTATTAAATAGATTACCGTTTATTTTATAAAATTTTGATATGATAAATCATATGTATATTTCTCAAACTATGTACTCAATTATAGAATACAAATTTTCCGTGCGATAAATAAACATCGCATGGAGAATTACTATAAGGTTTAAAGAAGAAATATAATTATAATAAAAAATTCAGTAACAAATGAGTAGCGCCAACCCATTACAATTTCCTATACTAGAATTTAGCATTGTGCCCTACTTAATTGTTGTGAAACTTTTCAATGAATACATCTATTTCTTTAAGGTTTTATAATAATTTTTTTTTCTATTTACTAATTGTACACATGTTCATTGCAATAGATTGAATGAAAAATTGGCCTTTATTATTATTCTTGAAAAGGTAGGCAATTAAGGCCTTGTTTGGCATCCTGATAAAAATCACTTATAAGCCTGTTTTATATAGGTTAAGATAAAATTCTTCTCACATGCTTATTTCGTATTATGTAAATTATGATTAAAATGTTATTTATAAATTATTTCAAAAGAATCCCAAACACTACGCACCTTCTTAAATATGCTTTTGGTATATGTGTTAGTGCGAATCCTTTTACAATCGTGTCCAAACTTATTTTTCCAAGTTTATGGATTGATTAATGCAAAGGAAAGCCTGGATTAAAGAGTTAATTTATAAAGATGTTAAATTCTTAATTCATGGGGAGAAAATGGAAAAAATATTTTCTTACATGACTTTTCAATAAATAGGATTTTTGTGTATAAGTAACAATAGATTGCATACCCTTTTGACATAATGGGAGGCAATAATCTCCAAATTTAGGTAAGGAATATATAAAAGGTGTTTGGATGAAACCAAACCATAATTTAGAGAATAACTTTTGGAAAATAGATTCTTAGAAGAATAGATTTTGTAAAAAGGTTATTCTAATAAAATGAGAGTGTTTGAATAGTTGTTATAAAAAACACATATATGTAAATTACTAAAAAAAATATAAGTTAATATGATAATTACATAAAGAACATAAACTTAAGTAATTGAGGATTGAGCATTCTATTATAATTCATGCCCGACGAGTGAATTGGTTCCTGGCTTCATTTTAAACAAAAGAACGTAAATTTAAGGATTTTTTTCTTATGAAATTTAGCAGTAAGTCAAAAAAAAAAATACTGTTATTTTTATTGGCACCGCCAATCAGTGAGCAACTGTTTAGTGAAGATACAATTGTCTAAGTCATCAATTTCCTTTAATTAATCTAAATGATCATTCCATGTGTCCCATTAATCAATAATTAATGTAGTTTTTTATTAATTAATAATGGGAAGGATTTGGACTTCGCTTCTCATCCTCAAATTCCATGGGTTGCCCCAGTGTACACGTGCCCACAAGGCAAACTTCACATGCACGCCATGATTGGGTTGTATCCTGCCACGTCAGCCAATTTGGATGTCGTCTTTCCTGGAACGTCCAATATTATTTGATCAAAATGTTTGATAATGATTATGATGATATGTCTGAGGGTGCACGGTAAGAATCAAGTTACCCGTTAGATCACTAGTGGTGTTATCTAACCGTTTGATGAAGATTTGTGAAAAAGCCAAGTCTGTCTATAAATGCATTAATGCAGGAGGAAGGCAGTGTCAGTTCGATAGGATTTTCTCTGGTGAAGATAGTTGAGGGGTGGGATGAAGAAGATGAGGATAGATAGCTAGGGTTTAGATTTCCTCAACCGAGTTCTTAGGTTGTCACCGGATTTTGCTTGCTTTTCCCGGAAAAGGGCTTTCCTTTCATGCTTCCATCTTCCCCCTTTCTAATTCTCTCGTATAGCATGTCGGTTTGAATAGAACCTCTGTTTTCCGGTGTGAAGTTTTGAGATTCCGGTGACATGAAAGAACGCTACGATTCTTTGATCATTTAACTCTGGGTGCTTGATGATTTTTGTCCAACGGTCTTGACTCAGTAGTTTCCTTCAATTTTGGCTTTTAATTGTGGTGATATGTTTTGTTTTGCATTGTGCTCCGCTGTTTCGCTTGAATTTTGAACTTATGGTTATTATTCTTTAGAAAGAAGTGTATAAAGAAAATATTCTTTTAGCTTTCTGATAATGAGAATTGTTGCCCAATCTCATGTATCACGAAGACAAATTTTGTTCTAGTTCAACAAATATATAATTCTTTGGTACGCTGATGGGATTGGAGTGTTGAATTCTGTTAGATGGAGAAAACATTAGGCTTTGTGTGAAGGGGATCGTTATTCTTTCGTATGTGAGGAAACGTTGTCAAATCTGCTGCATTCGATCGTTCATGCTTAGCTTTTTGGAAGATTTGACCTTTGATTGTACAACCCTCTGTTTAAATTGATCTGCGTTTGTAAACGTATGGATCCTGTTCCAGTAACCACTCCCAATTCCGCCTCATAATTTTTCTGCTCTTGAAGTGTGTGTCTGGCATTTCCCTCTTACCTCTTTCGCTAACCTTTGGCCTCCAAAAGAGCTTGACCCTTCGGAACCTTTCAGCTCTGAATCGAACTATGGCCGTCTCCCTAACCCGTTTCTCCTGGTGGCTGTGGGGAAACAAGGAGAAAGAGCCCGTGTCGAATAGTTCTACTCTGAATTCGTCTTCTGAATGGGGTTTCGCTCTTAAGGAACGCGAGGCTGTGAAATTTCCTTCGGTGAAGGGAACGAAGATCGCAGCATCTCACAGGAAGGTTAAACGAAAATGGCAGAGCAGGGAGCAGAGGAGGGTTGAAAAGGAGTACGACGTCGTATTGGTGCCATCTGACGGTGGCGCGTGTTTGTCGGGGACAGAATCTGATGACTCAGACTGGTCCATTGGTTGGCTGGAGCCTCACGGCTCGGAGTTTCAGAGCGATGATGAGTCGGATAATAGTTTTGCGGTGTTGGTTCCTTGTTATAGACCTGGGTCTAAGGAGGTTGAGAGTTCAAAAAACGATCTTTTGAGTGCGATCAAGAACATCCCAGATGAATTTTCTTCTGGTAAGAGCCAAACTTGTTTCTTGGAACCTGTAATCTGAAATCTCGTTGCTTGTGATTAACTGTTTACTTCTTTGGTTCGAAGCCTAAAACAACTTTTGTTTGATTCAGGTGGTTTTAAATTATTTACTTATCTTTTGTATTTTAACGAATTTTGTTTTTGGTGGATCTGTAAGTTGGTTTGACCATACTGTTGTATGACTCTGATGAAGAACTCTCTTTTGTGATCATAAAGATGGTTATTGGATTAGGACTCTAAAGTGAGAAAAAACGAAATAGGTCTTTCTTGCATGGTAACTTTAAGCACCATAGTAAATGGGTTGTGTATTTTTCCCCAAAATTATTGTACAAGGCAAAAGCTTATTTTCCCCTTAACTGTGTTTATATGTGGCGATTAAAAAAAAGGCCCTCATCATCTATCTATTTTACGAAGATGCTTATGTGATAGAGAAAGGTAATCCATTGAAATAACTCCATTGTTCCGATTCCTGAAATCCACATTATTCAAGCAGAGACAAATAATTGCTTCTTTTTTGGATTCGTGGCCTGAATTGGATGCTTGAGTTATTTGACTATCAACCTATGGCTTTAGTGTTGCCAAGTGTGTGTTGAAGAATGAGCTCTTATTTCCCAGCTGATGGAACTTGTATTATAATAGAGTATGGATGATTTCTTAGCCCCTGATCGTGCATGAGCATGATCCATATAAAGGCTTGGACTTTTCAAACAGAACATTCGTGAAAATGGAAGCTGATGGTTCTTTTATGGAAACATAGTCTTGCAATAAATGAGTTTGATGCGTTTTTCTCTTTGATTGTGTTCACAAAGTATATATTTGGCTTTTAATACATTTTCTGTTATTGAATATTCATCTATCTTTTTAAGATACTTGGGGGGATATGTCACTTTGAAGTTTTGGTTTTCTGAATTTGGATTTGAACATGCAGGCAAGAACTACCTGGAACAGTGGCTGGCTTCTCTTCAGAATTTTGAAGCTTAGTACTGATGACAAGGGGTTTCTGACAAAAAAAACTAGCTCGAGTAATGAACATTGATGAGAACCAGTGCCTCGTTCCAAGGATTAGCATCTTTTGGGAAGCCTGAAACCAATGGCCATTTTGCTGCTGGGGCATGTTTAGCTCTCATTGTAGATACCACATACTCTTGTGAATATGTAAATAGAGTAAATGCAAGCAAAAATGAGGGGGGAGAAATAGTCCTAATCTACATGCTTTTAGTAGTGTTTTTCAGTTTCTCACTGTGTAAAATGACCGCCCGCTTTTCCGCCATAATGAAATCCTAATCATTCTATCTTGCTACTGTGTCTCCTGTAGATAAACTGTAATGAGAAGAACCAGAACTGTTTGATTTTGTTATCCCATATAGTAAGCAGTTTATAAGTTGTTTTTTAATAGTGATTTACGTAATACAAGGTGAGTATATGAGAAGAGTGTTCTGATTTACGTGAAACGTGCTTATAAAGGGTTTCTATCACTCTGCCAAACAGGGCTATAATTCCATTCTGCAGAATCCATCTGCGCTGTATACAGGGACTCCTCTTTCATTTCTGTTTTTATCTAAACGCGCAATTATACAGCCATTGTAATGATTGCTGGAGATTGTCAAGTTGAAGTCTGAACCACAAAAAAAGCAAGGTTGGGCATGTGGTTGAAGCAGAGAGGACCACATCAATGGCGGTTGGTAAGCAGATCACGTAAAGGTTGGTGGGTCATGTTTGCATTTGAGCAGAGTGAAAGTGAAATACGACCCAAACGGTATTGGAACTACTGTTACTCCTTATCTTGGCCTCTTCTGCTTGTGGGTTTGGTTCTCTCGCTTTCTCAGACGGCATCTTCATCAACTAAAGAAGAAGCCACTCACCAACGAATTTATTCCTCAATTGGATAAGGAATTGACTCCTTCCCTTTTATCCCTTCTCATCAAGGAACAATACTTTTGGAACTTTTCTTTTCCTCGATTTAGCTCCAAATTTCCATCTTTTTACGTGAAAATATGACTTTTAATTCTTAAACTTCACTTCAATTATTGATATATGGTCTTGGAATTTTTGACTTGGAACAATTCAGTCTTGTGATTTTTTTGATTCAAAACTAGTCAATTATTATAGTTTTTTTTTTAACTTGGTGAAATTCAATCCTTATAACTTAGGACTTTAAGAATCGAACTGTATTAAGTCAGACCAAATTGATAATTAAAAGAACATTTGGGGACTAAAAGTTATATTATTCTCTTTTCAGAAATATTAAATTAAGTCATCATACTCAGATTGGGCGCTGTAATTGTAACTCGTAAGTAAACTTTTAATAGTGATTCTGGCCAAAAAAAAATAAAATTCAGCGTGATATAGCTATGTGGGCGACTGCATTTAAGTTGCTGAGGAAAAAAAATTTGAACGCCTCCTTAAAATTATGTATTAAAAGATAATTTGGCTTGAAAGTAAACTTATGGCTCTTTTTTTTGGGTGAAAAATATGGGGCTAAAAGCTCAATCTTATTGCTGCGCAATCATGCATTGGAGAGCAACTCCCACTGAGTCTCGGTACAAAAAATCCATAACCTTTCTAGAAGGACTATCAAAAACCGCAAAGACTTCCTTTGACTCAAAACAAATGCTCTTTTGATCCTATTTATAAGATAAAAAAAGAAGATATTTTTTAGTCCTATTTATAGGGTATTGAGAGAAATTTTGTGTGGATGTACTTCATTTATTATTGTGTTGACTTTATTTATATGAGGTATAATGTATATTAAATAAGAATAAAATTGAAAAGCTATTGAATTTTAAACGAGAGTTAATGAAATTTAAGGTTTTTCTTCGTCTATATGAAACATGTTAAAAGTAACTTATAAATAGGACCAAAGGAGTACTAGCGAGGCAATCACCAATCAGCACTAAAATTTGCCCCCCCATATAGATGACTGAATTTTATCCGAGCAAACCTAATCATCTCACGCTTTACAACTTCCAGCAAACTCGAATCAGTACACTCAGCAGTACACAAATTTTGCAGAATATTCATAAGGGATTTTGAGTCACCTTCAATAATCAAGTGAGTAACACCAGTCTCAAAAGCTGTCTTCATTCCAGCGATGACACCCCAGGTTTCTGCTATCATTGCCGAGCAAGAACCCAGCTTCCTGGTAAATCCCTTGATCTGATTCCCTCGACAATCCCTTAGCAAACCACCACAAACCGCCACTCTATTCTGCCCCTCCACTGCACCCACGATAGCTTGTTTATTACTAGTATTATAATTAAGCATTTATTTGGTCGAGGTGTTTTTTTTTTTAAAAAAATAGAAGTTCGGTCGAGTTTATTTTGGGAAATAGGTTGCTTTGAAAAAATATCTTTTTTTTTTATAAATAAAAGGGAAAATTACGTACAGAGCCCATAGAAGAGATTTTATTCATCTAAAGTCTCGCAAAATGTCAAAATTACTAACAGGTCCCAAGGGACCTTAGAGTAATATATTCTATTTGTAAAATGACGTTACTGCCCCTCACATTCCAAATTCACATTTGCTCTATCATTGCGATTTACAACCTCAACAGCGACTATTAACAACCCAATGAGAATGTGTTAACAACCTAAGCAGTATCCGTTAACTACTTACTTTATAAGATCACATAACCTCCATATAAGAGTAAATTATAACAAAATAGCATAATACAACAACTTTAACACTAAAATGGGAAGCTTTTTGAAATCGTTAAGAATTTAACTAAACCCAATAGGATTATTTTAATGCGGAGATCCATTGACAACCTCAACGGTGAGTATTAATAACCTAAGGAGAACTGTTAACAACCTTACCAGTGTTTGTTAATAACTGATTTTACAGGATAATATAACCTCTAACAACTATATAAGATTAACTTTAACACTATTTAGTTATAATTTAGTTAGTTATAGTTAGAGGTTATATTATCCTGTAAAGTCAGTTGTTAACAGATACTACTAAGGCTGCGAACAGTTCTCCTTAGGTTATTAATACTCACTGTTGAGGTTGTCAATGGATCTCTGCATTAAAATCTTACTATAATTCTAGTCGATTTAGTTAAAATTCTTAATGGCTTCGAAAATCTTCCCATTTTAGTGTTAAAGTTGTTGTATTATACTATTTGGTTATAATTTACTCTTATGTGGAGGTTATATGATCTTATAAAGTTGTTAACGGATACTGTTTATGTTGTTAACACGTTCTCATTGGGTTGTTAATAGTCACTGCTGAGATTGTAAATCGTAATGACAGAGCAAATGTGAATTTGGAACGTGAGGGGCAGTAATGTTATTTTACAAATAGAACATATTACTCTAAGGTCTCTTGAGACCTATCAGTAATTTGACATGTTGAGGGCCCTTAGAGAAATAAAATCTCTTCTGTGAGATCTTTGTATAATTTTTCCTAAATAAAACAGCCCAAGAAAACTACGCAGTTACATGACAGGACACACTAATATCCAAGTTTAAAGCGTCTCTGAGAAAACTCGAAGGACTAGAGAAACAGGTAATCCCTTTGGGGCGGTTGAGAGGCTGAGAGCCTCGTGGGCTAAAACGTCAGCAACCATATTCTCCTCCCGCTTAGGCCGGCAAATACTGGCCGACCAGTCGCGTCCCGGCGGGTTGCGAATCCCTACCAAGAGCCCTTCTTCACGATGGTCCTCTTTGAAAAAATATTGTTTATCACTTGTGTGTTTATGTTTTCATAAAATGTTTAACCTTGATCTAAAAGATAGAAGTAAATTTATTTATTTATTTCTTTATACCGACAGGCCCGTGAAAATTATAGCTTACGCTGATGGATGTGGGATTGGGCCACGTTCCACACACTTCATATGAGCCCAGCCCAAACAATGAATGGGGGAAAGAAATTAAAAACAGCAAGAGGCTAATATTTAAAATTATTTCGATTTTCCAACATTATAATTCGATCTTCCATATATTACAAGAATATTAAAAATTTTATTTCTCAATTTTCAAGAAATACGAGTGATATTTTCTTTTTTCTTTTTAATTACAAAATCAATAGTAGTTTTTGAAGCACACATGATAACCTTAATTATACTCTCGAGCATTTAAATTCCAACTTTGTTAAATATTTCCTTCAGTTTCATTTTTGCCTCTTCTGCTATTTGTCTTGCTGTTTTGTTCTCATGCGCGTTGTATTTTTGAAAAAATAAAATAAAAATTAAAAAAAAAAGATAGTTGGGGGATAACTCAATGAGTCATAGACTTTGACTTTGAAGACAGTACGTAGAAGTTAGGTTATTCTTATGCGGCTTAGAAGCTTCTTAAATTATTCTCTGGGCGGTTTGATTTATGTTAGGATTTTCCGTAAAAGAGCTCTGAAAAGATCCATTCACCTACCTCTAATACGCCAACCTGGCCCCTTTGATAAGTTTCAGAATTTGCTGTTGGCGGAGAAATAAAAAAGAATGAAAAAAAAAAACTAAAGAACTGTATTATGTAAAAATTTAAAAAATAAAAAAAATTCTATTCAGAAATTTTATTAGTCAAAAGTATTTGATGTGTTTTTGTATATAAAAAGTATAGATACTCCGCAGAATTTCATACGCAAAAAGTATTAGTATTTTAATTTTTTTATGAGAAAATTATTTCTAACAAAACAAACGGAACAAAGAACATGGGATTTGGTTGTTTTCAAATAAAAAAGATTAGATAGAAATGAAAATAAATTAAAAATAATTTTATGCAAAGTCATTTTTTTGTGAATGTTTTCAGCTTTTCCCCCCCAGTAATGTAAAGCCGCAAGGGAATGTCAATCTTGGGAAGGCCGTCCCTCCACAAACAACATTTCTATATTTGTCGTCGCATCGTTCATGAAGACAACGATAATGATACAAAAGCTAATGATAGTAATATAATTATCGATTAATCAATTCTGTTCAAATCGAGTAAAAAGAATTTGATGTTAATATGTTATTTGAGCAGTGTTGAATCCAAGTTTTACCAATATGAAAATTATGTTGATAATACTCTCATTGGGTGGGTGTTTGGATATCCTTAGAACTACTTAAAAAAAAATTGTTTTTATGTAAGCCTATCTTAAACTCTATAAGATTATTTTTAAAAAGCTAATTCAAACATTTTTTTTTTATCAATTTAACACTTGCGTTTGAGATTATGAATGCTAAAAATTAGGCATAACGAACTAGGAATAAAAGATCAATAGAATTCTAACTTATTGGTTACATGTGATATGCAAATTAGGCTGGATCAAATTAAGAAATAAAAAGGAAATTCTAAATAATTTTTTTAAAAAAAGTATAATTAGGAAGTATTTTTTGCAATATTCTTTAGCGTTCAGAGATATATCTTGATTTTAGCAAGTCTTTAAAACCTAACTCACCTAAAATTTTTATTTATAAACAAAAAAAAAATATAAAAAGATAAGAGATGGCTAAAACTTTGAGAGACATAAAATTAAACCGGGGACTAAATTAACAAAAAAACAAAGAAGAAGAAGAGTTTTTGTGAAAAGCAAGAAAGAAGAGAAAAAATTTTAATTTAATTTCTAGAATGGAAATAAAAATTAAAAATATGGGAGCCTAAAATGTATTTGACGTGGGATCTCACGATCAATTAATGATTATATGTTTTTGGCCAACAAATCAATTAATGATTAAATGAGTTCTTATAAGATTTAAGTATATATTATGTTTTTTTTTTAAAAAAAAAGAAGACTGGCATACGCGAGATAAAGCATAGCTGCGTGGTCGGCTTTTAAAAGCAAAAGGGAAAGGTGCTTTGCCGCTTGATCTGGAAGGACTTTGCTGCCACCGCCACGTGGGTCATTATGTTTATTTTGCGTGCAAAATTTGTATTTCTTTCTGTTTTCCCCTTTTCAATTATGATCAGCCAGCCTCACTTTTTGTATAATTTTATTTTGGTCCTTCTCATTCTGTTTTATTTTATGATGAGATTAAGTTCTATTTAGCATTTCAAAATATTTTCTCAAATACATCTAATACTTATAATATTTTCTAAGTACATTTAACAACCTGAAGTATTTTTTTGCTTTAGTATTAGATGTACAAAAAAATATTTTTGGATCCTAGACATATCTTTAAAAATACTTCACAGTGCTGCTAAACGTACCTGCAAAAATATTTTATGATGTTAAATTCATCACAAAACAGTTTAGGATGTTGGATGTACGTGAGAAAATATTCAAAGTGACAGGTACACTTTGACCTTTTTATTATTAAAATATTAAATGCCGGATGAAAAATGTAAAATACACCGCAAATGATGCTATGGTTATTATTACAAATCATAATGAGCGTGACTTATCTTTTTTTTTATAAAAAAAATCTGAAATAAACCAGAAACCAATGCAGTCAATTTTGGTTTTACGTGAGAGGTTGATACATAATGATATAATAGGACTTAACAACTAAACCATTAATGGGATAAAACAATGGATGAACTGTAAAACAGAAAAAAGCTTATATGTGTAATATTATAACAACATATGCGAAGCTGTTGTGTTATTGTTTTTGTCGCAACGCCTTTTGTAAAAAGGAAGGCTTGCACAATAAATTCGGCCGAGGTTTGCTCCCCTCCATCATCCCCATATTTTGCATCACAGTTTCTTACTTGCACGTTCTCTCTCTCTTCTCTGTTTGATTCAATCTTTTCACAATCTTTCAGTCATGTCATGGAATCCACGTCTTCTTCTTCATCTTCTTTAATTAGGCAGATTCACAGAAACAGAGCTTCCATGTCCTTGTTGGTACAATAAGATCTCTGTTGCAGGAAATATAAGAGGAGGAAGACGAAGAAGAAGAATAAGGAGGAGGAGAAGCCAGTATGTTGCATAGAGCAGCAAACAATGCGTATTCATGGTGGTGGGCCAGCCACATCAGAACAAAGCAATCAAAATGGCTGGAGCAAAATCTTCAAGGTCAGGATTTATCTCTGTTTCTTCCTCTGATAATAATCAGAAGATAAAAAAGAATGGCTTCAACTTTCTGATACCTCTCTTTTCTTGTTTGTTTGATCTATACAGCATTTTCTGTTACAATAACTTGAATATTGACGTTCTGTCAAAATTCATTGGATAAATGTGCAGTCAGCTATTTTGAACATTGAATTAGCTCTAAATGGAGTAATTGACCATTTATCAAATGAAACCTTCACTTATGTTTGCTTCACATGCGACATAACTAAGCCCAACAACTTTCACTTCTTCTCAGTATTGAACTATTGATAAGAAATTAAATTAAGCTATTCTTTTTTTTTTGGGGGGGGAGGGTTAAGAATTAACATATTCACCTATCTTGGAAGTTTTTTCTTTTTGGAGCAAACACTTCCTTGAAGTTGATAGAGAGGTTTCTTGCAATACTAGGAGATTTTTTAAGGGAGATTTGATGAGAAATCCTTTCATATAGTGCTTATATAGCCAGCTAGCCCTGGTAACGAGTTAATAATAAAATTAAAAAGAATGGGTGTGTCAATATATATACTGTCTTATGAAATATCTGCCTGGGTGAATTTTCATTAGCTTCTTGGACAGCCAGCTGGTAAATTTGTTGATGTATTCAGCATAAGCTTGGTGTAATGCAACGGTTTCTTGGTCCAATTTAGAATAGACGTGCTCTAATGAGAAAATCACAAGTAACACCCACTTATCACAAATTGCTTGAGGAAACTGATCAGAGTTCGCTAAAACTGCAGACATGGAGGAAAAAGTGCAGAATGTTCTGAAACTTATAGAAGAAGATGGGGATTCCTTTGCAAGAAGAGCAGAAATGTATTACAAAAAGAGGCCAGAGCTGATACACTTCGTGGAAGAATCATACCGGGCTTACCGAGCTTTAGCTGAACGGTATGATCACATATCAACCGAGTTGCAGAATGCAAACACCACCATTGCTTCTGTCTGCCCAGACCAAGTCCCCTTCATGGAGGATGATGATGATGAAGCATCACCAAGGTCTCCAATGTCACCAAGGGTCCCCAGGAAACTACCAGAAGGTTTCAAACCACCAAGTATCCCAAAGCCTCCGGTTAAAGATTTTAAAAGCGCAAATCCAATAGCGCCGAAGAAATTGTATTCCAAGAAGACATCCACTGCAGAAATTATTTCCAGAGCTCCTAAATCTGGACTGAGCAAAAAGGAGGCACTTGAAGAGGTTGACAAGCTTCAGAAACAGATTCTGGGACTACAAACTGTGAAAGAGTTCGTAAAGAGCACTTATGATAATGCCATTGCAACATACTGGGAAACTGAGGAGCAGATCAAGGAGTTACAAGAGAGAGTTTCCAGTTTACAAGACGAACTTGGTGAAGTTACTGTTATTGACGACAATGAAGCTCGTCGTTTGATGGCAGAAGCTGCTCTTAAATCATGCCAAGAGACATTGTCACAGTTGCAAGTGAAGCAGGAAAAGGCAATTAAGGAAACCAGGATAGAGTCCAAAAAAATACAGGATATCAAGAAGAAGTTCGAGTCACTCAAGGATGAGTTCCAATATAATTCAACCAATCAGAATGAGCCAAGGACTAAAAGAGACGCAAAAGAAGTAGCAGAAGCAAAGGACTTGGATGGAGAGGAGAGAATGACTCAGCAGAGACAGGATCTGCGGATTTTACAAGAGAAGATTAAAGAACACTTTGAGGCTGGGTCCCATTCATCTCTCAGTGTGACAGAAATGGCAGAGAAGATTGACGAGCTTGTGAACAAAGTAGTAAGCTTAGAAACTGCAGTTTCATCCCAGACTGCTCTGGTGAAGAGACTGAGAACAGAAGCTGATGAACTTCAATCACAAATCCGAGCTCTGGAAAATGACAAGGCAAATCTAATCAATGACAAAAACAACTTGAACGACGAGCTGAGAAAAATGGAAGAAAAGATGAATGGAGTACAGAATCTAAACCAAATTGTTGAAAGCCAGCATATGAATCTGCAAACCCATTTCACTGAAGCACGCTGTAATCTTGATCATCTCTCAGAGAAAGTCCAAAATTTGCAACAGGATGATGCAGAGGACACAGATCTTACTCAGAGAGAAATGATATCATCAGGTGAAGCCGAAGCAAAGCATGAGGTTGAAGGAGAAGATGCAGCGAATCAAGAGAATGTCTTATTAAAAGATGTAAACTCGGATAGGAAGCATGAATTCACCGATTCAGTAGAAGGTGAAGTAAAGTTACTCATTGGTTCTCTAGAGGATGATACAAAGTCAGAAAACAAGCTTATGGTAGCTGGTTCACGCAAAGAATCAGATCAGGAGCTTAAGGTTACAGTCACACATACGATGGAAGAGGCGCAGCCAGTGGCAAACAAAATGCCAAGCGAGACTAAAGAGCAGGAGGGAACTGTTAGCCATGACAGTGATGATGAAAGAACTAGAGATGCTCTGAGTGCTAATGCTGGGAAAACGGCAATAAGTTCTTCAGACAGCTTTGAAAGCAAGCAAGAGATCGATGCAAAGTCAGATAAGGAGATTAAAGCTACAATAACACATGTAACAGAAGAGGCGCATCCAGAGGAAAACAAATTGCCAAACGAGATGAAAGAACAGGAGGAAACTGCAAATCTTGACAATAGTGATGAAAAAGCTGGAGATACTCTAAGCACTAATGCTGGAAAAATAGCAGAAATTTCTTCAGACAGCTCTAAAAACCAGCAAGAGATCGATGCTAAACCAGAGTCATCGGGTACACAGAATTCTCTCAAATTTGAAGCCCAGGAGCAGCCAAAAGCACAAGAGGATGAACCAAACTGGCAGAAATTATTTATGGATGGACTGCAGGATAAAGAGAGAGTGTTGCTGGCAGAGTACACTAATACTCTTCGGAATTTCAAAGATGTGAAGAAGAAGCTCACTGAACTGGAGAAGAGAAATCAAGAGAGTGACTTTGATACATCTTTGCAGTTGAAGGAACTGAAGCGTGCTATTGCCTTGAAAGATGAAGAGATTAGATATCTGCGTCAGAAACTGGATCTCCTGCAGAAAAGCTTGGAGGGAAATGAGGAATTGATGAAGTTAAATTTACCAATGCCAGTAAAGAACATTGATGAAATCTTAAAAATTGAGGCGTCTGGCGATACATCAGCCATTGAAGAGAAGTTCCGGATGAGCATTGATAAACTTCTAGAGGAGAACTTAGAATTCTGGTTAAAATTCAGTAGTATTTTCACCGAGATACAAAAATTTGATACCACCATCAAAGATTTAGCGACCGAAGCATCAAAACTTGGCGCAGAATTGAAGGCTTCAGAGGGCAGTACCAACGCAAAATATTCTCTAAAATCGGATGCACGGCCAATTTACAAACACCTTGAAGAAATCCGGACGGAACTAACTGTCTGGTTGGGAAAAAGCGCACTGCTGAAAGAAGAACTGAGATTCAGGTTCTCATCCTTGTGTGACATCCAAGAAGACATAACAGTGGCATTGAAGGCCAGTGCTGAAGATGACGAATTTAAGTTCACGAGCTTTCAAGCGGCCAAGTTCCAAGGTGAGATTTTGAACATGAAACAAGAAAACAACAGGGTTGCTGATGAGCTTCAGGCAGGTCTGGACCATGTCACGACTCTGCAACTTGAAGTTGAGAAGGTGCTTGCGAAATTGAATGAACAGTTTGGACTCTCAACCACAAATAAACCCCAAGCTTCCCATCTGAGGAGTGTGAATTCTCGGACCCGGGTTCCTTTAAGGTCATTTATCTTTGGTGATAATCCAAAGAAACAAAAACCATCAATCTTTTCTTTCATGGCCCTTGGAATGCATAGGAAGTATCGTTCAAGACCAAAGACCCCCATGTAAACTAGCCCCACTAATTTCTTTCTTCCTTTCTTTCCTTCTTTCATTCCATTTCTTTTCTTCGCTTATAATTTTTCTTTTTGGTCGAAAAAAAAAGTTGTTTGACTAGGTAGCGATTGAGAGTTAGAGTGCCCTGTTACAAGTTACTTGTCGGGAGTTTGACTATACGTAGGTTTGAGTTTGCAGTTATATGTATCCTTATACCAACTAGGTGGATATTGCTATAATATGGGTGTCAGGATTTTCCTTTGTGTTTTGATCGTTTGGTTAAACATCTACCCATGATTCATTGTTTTCAAATGATGTCTCCTAAAACGTAAGTGAAATATTGTGACACTAGAACTGAATCAAGTCAACACCCAACTCCTACATTAGATACAGCATGAAGTGTCATGGAGTTTGAAGACTGCATGAGTATTGGCAAGTTCGAGGGGTGTTATGCGTAGACAGGGGCAGACGATCATCCATAGTCTCCCCCATTCTTTCCTCTCTCTCCCTCGTCTGCGCGCACTCGGCCTTCCACTTCTTACTGTTCCCAGTTGGAAACAAATACCTGATCACATCACGCAACCTTCAAGCTTCTTCTGGTTGCGCCGTGAATCTAGTTGAGGCAACAATAAGATCTGGAAAAGCTTCTGCCTTTCTCTCTCTTGCGGTTTTCGCTTTATGAGTTTCATTGCTGGGACCAACCTCAGACTCACCAAAAAAAAAAAAAAAGGAAAAAGACCTGGGGTCTATTCGATATGGCGTTGAAAAGTATTCGTAAAGCACGTCAAAACAAATATCCTTCCACGTACTTACCTCATATTCCAAATGATCAATCACCATGTCTTCCTAGCTGTATGCCCCGATGGTGTGATGTTTTAGATAGAGGAAGGCAGCCCTCACACACCACATGGAGAGCGGTGAGTGCATCAAAGTTTGTGGTTTGGACCCAAAGGCCCTCGGCATCTCCTCCGACGCTCTCTTCGACTCTCACTCCACCCACAACCTCTGCTCCCCTCACTGTTACTACAACTGTTCCAACGTCGTCGACTTCTACTGCAATATCACGCCGCAGGCGAAGGTACTGTCACATATTCTACAGACCCTTTTTTCTTCAATTTTTCCTTGCATTCGTCGGTTACATATATAATAATTTGTCGTATGAATTAAACAAGAGTGTTTCTTGCCAAGTTGCGTGTAGTAGAAGGTGCGAGCGCACAGCCAGCAATGGCTGAACTGAGAAGCTCTCGAATTGTGGTGCCTGGGCCTGTCAAGTCCGCGGCCACGGCTGAAACTCCTCAATCCCAACCTCACAACTCTCTTCTTTTTTGCTGTCAACCAACTGGTAGGTTCTCCACCATGCGGCAATTAGTTATATACATGTTTCTGCTTTTAACGGTGTGCACCAAGCCATATATAAATAGATATTATATAATGTACCGTGTTAGTTTGAGCACTTAGTATGTAGTTTGCTCGGTTTGTGTAGCAAAGAAAAGGAATTCACTACGGATCTAACAATGGAGGCGAAGTTGAGCGATAGTATAAGAACTAGAGAGGACAAGGCAAATTCTAAGGAGCCACTCTTGTGTCTGGTGAGGGCGGATAGTGCGCAGATCAGGGAGAGAGAGGAAGGAAAGTATGGGGGAGATTGTGCTTTTTTTTCCCCCCACCAGAAGAGATAGTGTCTGATGATTAGGCGGCTGAGTTGGTGCATTCAGTGCCACGTCTCATATAGCCAAAGAAATTTAACAATCAAAATTAACGTTTTTAACACTTGGGTGTAAACTTTGGGGATGCTGCTTTAAAAAAAAAAAAATCTCGGATTACTATTTCCAAGCGAAAACTTCTAAAACAAAGATGAACATTAATCCTTTATAAAATAATAAATTGTCTCGTACTTTTAAAGTATTTGATTTTTTTCCCCTAAGAGTTTAGACTTCTCTGAACCTATTAGAAAAACTTAGCAGGCAACTATAATTCCAAGCCATGTAAAACATACGTGTGTGAGGTAAACAAAATAGTGCAATACCATGTGAAGTATTGTAGCAGCTGGTTTAGTAGCTTAGCATTAGGATTTAGGACCACAATAGGGGGCAACTACAAATCTGATTAACTTGACCAGAACTCCAAGTATTACTGTAAAATAAGAAACAACCACAACTTTGAAGCCTTGCGTATGGCTAAGAAAGACCAGTCGATGTGACGAGGTTAATTCAGCTCACTGGAATGATACCTCTGATACGATCTGGGCTCCCCTTCCCCTTGCAATGTAGAGGCCAATATGATGCATCAGCTCCTGCCAAAAAGAAAAAATAAATTAAAAATAGACAGATTAAAATATCATACGTGTAAATAATACAAGGTGAAACTTACAGACCCAGAGTAGGTCTGATGCTCTGTAAACCCCGTGGATAACCGGGGCTTCATGCACTGTACTATATGGGCAGAGGAAGGGTCAGGGGGTAAAAAAAATGGAACTAGTCCATTACAGTGGGATTATCTAAAAGAGTAGTCCTGGGCTTCTTCTTGGTAATCCATTTATACTTCTTTGGTCCGGCTCCGGTTTTTATTCAGATAATTTAACTAGGCAGAAAGTCACCGGGTCTGAATTTATATAACCAGAATCAGAAGGGCAGAGCATAATTGTCTGCTTAGATGATCAAAGCATTCTTTCAGTCAAAGTTCTATTTATGACAATCATGTAATTTATCACAACCAAACTTCCACTGAAGTACCTGCGGATGAGCTATCACATCCTTGTTATCTCTGGCTATATGAACTGGAATATCATATGTAGCACAAGCATGGGAATAGATAATCACATGCTCCAAAGGAGAAAGAAGACGCCGATTTCTAGCAGACAACGCAGAACAGACAAAATCCAGGACGCATATATCCGTACATATCCCAACAACCAAAATCTGTTAAGGACAAAAATTGCAGTACAACAAATTAGGCCAGCAATCTTGGAGTTCAAATGAAATTGAGTTACAAGTACAGCAGACTTAAACAATCATGTTAATTGTTTAATTAGGAGAAGGATGGAAATGTTTACTTGTTTTATCTGATGATTTTCCACCCATTTAACGAAAACATTAGTACCATCTTTCTCAACTGAACCAAGGTATCCATCGATGCAATCTTTGCACCTGAGTGTTGCATTTGGTTCATTTTCCAACCACAGCAATTCTGCAATTCAGAGAAAATCAAACTGATGCAGGACAAATTCGTGTGTGTTTGTGTGTGTGTGTCCTGAGTCTGAGTGACGTCCAATACCAGGAACCAATTTTGCTTCCTCTGTTCCGGCAATACAGTGAGGAGGATAAGGGGGCTCAGGAGTATCTCGGTCATGGGTATCAAGGAAGGCAAAAATAGGCCACTTCTTTTCAGTGAACACTCTTGAGAGCCTCACTGATTCTTCTACCATCCTAGAAATTTGTTTGTCTGGTTGCCTTGGGGCCTATTGAATACCATAATCGATGACAAAATGATGAGTCTTTGTCTCATTTAGTCAAATCAACAAACATGAACTAATCTAACAAATGCAAGAACGCAATTAGACTAAAAAAGAAATGATTGACTGAATCATACGAAGGCAAACCGTAGAGAGCGGCAAAACAGCTCGTGGAGGTCGGCTTACCAGATTACCAGCTCCAACGGTGCAGAAGCCATTGACAACGTCGACGAGGACGAGACCTGTTTTGACGTCCCCAGACAAAATAAGGGGTTGTTGATCCACTGGGAGTTGCTCCTTTAACAGATCAATCGTCTGAGAAACCATTCTCTTTTTTCTCTCTTCCCGTCAAAATATGAAGAAAGGAATACAGAAGAAATGTAACCTTAACGATTCCAAATCGAAACAGTATTGCCGAATTGACACGCAGGAGGCTAATTAATAATTTTACTGGCCGGGGTTTCGCTCTCGTTCAGCTTTTCTACGAACTTCCTGTGTCTTATTCCCATTGAGCGTAGGAACAGGAAGCGCCAAATGAAATCCTAGTCGTTTGTCAACGCATGCCAAGGAAATTGCACATAATTAAATGTATTTGTTGCCAAATAGCAAGTCCACTAAAACCTCCTCTCACGTCACGGGGATATGATTAATAAATGAAGGGAAGTTGTGCTGATTTTTTCTTTTTAATTTCAATACAGCAGGGCCTAAGCCCAAAGTTGAAACTTGACTAGAAGTATTGCTCGGCCTGAAATACAAACTGGGCTTTGTTGGATCCAACTTGGAACTGGCCTCAAAATTTTTTTAAGGAAAAACAAGAGAAAATATAATTTTAGAAAAAAAAGTTATTTCATTATATCTCATCCCCAAACAAGTGGTTGGGATTTTGGTTCCTAACTATTATATACATGTGTGATGTATTTATGTATATGTGTGTATATATGAAACAAATTTAGTACATCGAATTGATCTGGCTCAACTAATATCTTGACTTAATTTGACTCTCTATAAATATGATAGATATATGAATTTCTGTGAATAAAATTATTCACAAACGTGACAGGATGAGGACAAACCCATCCCCATCTCATCCTAATGAATAAGAACAAAACGAGACTTTTGTCTCGAGATCGGGATGAGACAGGACATTTCATTCCCCTTTTTTTCAAAAAAAAAAAATTAGAATTTTTGCATGAATTTTTTTATCTTATAATTTTTTTATTGGGTTTTTAAAAATAAAAAATATTACGTAAAAAGTTCAATTAACTAATATAATAATTATTATTAATAAATAATTTTAAAAAAATACTATGAGATGGTCGCATTTCATCCCATCTTGAAGTTTTTTTTGTCCTAAGACGAAACGGTCAAGACAGGATAAATTGAACACTCATACCTGTAGACAGAAAAAATATGGTCAAAAATGATTTATTCAGGGATAAATCCTAGCCCGGAAAGGAAGGTTTATTTATAATAATATGGAAGTAGGTAGTTAGGTGGAATGACCCGAACAATGACAGATACAAATGCAGAAATCGACAAGTATATATTGAAATCACCACGAAATATCAGTCTGATATTGCCAAGCAATTACAATAAATGGAAAACATAACATGCAGGGAAATAACGGAAAAGTCCGTCCAGAGGGAGAAGACGCCAGAGAGAGAAGATTCTTCAAATCATGCACACCCACTCCTAATGTCCTGACACTGCCTTTACCCTCCAGCTCACGCAACTTCCACGTGCTCTTTCTCACCCGTGTAGTGCGCCTTGGAAGTACTTGGGCTGAGCCCCCAGCATCTGATCTCGCATT